CTTTGCTTTCCATGGAGTCTGCCATGTTGAACTGCCATGTTTAGCCCAGAAGGGACAAACAATGGCTCTAATAGACGTGTTCATGTATCTCTTGTGCTTTTTCAGCCACCATAGTTATGATCCGCAAGTACACTGCTATGCCACTAAATCCTACACACTAGACCTTTAAAAGTAAATGTTGTACTTCGGCATTTTACAGAACAAACACAGAACATTTGTTCCGGTCTACATTTATCACGTTGGTGTCAGGCAATTAAATGTGGCCAGCAGGAAGCCATTACTGTCACTGCCCTTCTCCTCTTGTTTTCAAGTTTTCACCTGTTGCAAACGTCGATGAATATTCATGAGCAGTGTCTGGTGAAGCACTCAGCAAACGTTAAGCAAATGATGAATTTCCATTTGCATGAGAGGAGAGTGGCTGTGCGGAGGTAGAGAGAAAGAGGTGCCTCATCAGCTTTTGATCCTATCAGCGGGCCACAAAAGGGAGAGCTTACCCAGATGAGACAAATCAGTTACAGATGCATGAATTCGAATCTATCTTTGGCACCCATCTTCTAGGAACTTGATTCCACCTCCTGGCAGATTATAACAGCCTATAACAAGCTGAGTTGATTACATCTTGCAGTTCAAAGGTTTGGAGCTCTAAGGGACTGTTTCAGTGTCTCGGGTAGGCACAGACACTTCTATCTGAACTAAAATGTCAGTATGATCAGTGCTTTCATCTAAGGGGGACTTAGAATTTTGATTATTTCAGTGTTAGAGAGGGAATAATTCACCACCAAGAGCACACATCTAATCCATACAAATGACCTGTGTGGTGACTGATGGGGCAGCTGTTATGGGGAACATAGTGGGGGGTAGAAAAGCATTCACCTCTAGCCAGAGTGTCGAGTTTTTAAACTTTAGAAATGCAGAACTTCACCGGCCCTGCTGGACCCTGGCCAATCCAAACAGGCCTGGATCATGACTCTGACATGTCTGTGAGCTGTTAGCCTGCAGGTCAGTCTGTCTTTGCTGCTCCATAGAGGCCACAGCACTCCAGCTCCTGACTTACAAAACAGACCAGCCCTAATTGATCCCATATAAGAACAGATGTGAGAGAGTGATGGTTTGTCTCATGTTTGAATGTGAGAGGAATTATGTTGCAACGATGTTAGGGCTTCACCCCCATAGATTAGCGCTAGAAAAATGCTTTAATAAGAAACGTAGGTGATGTCTACACAAATGAGGTTGTTCAATGATGAATGTGATGATGCCAAAGAACAAAATTGACCAACTGTTGTGGTCATTATTGTTGCATATCTTTAGGACAATAGATGCCCTTGACATGATAGTTGACTGATTTTAGATTGGCGTTGCTGTACAGGAGACCACATAGCTAGAATACCTTCTATCATCGCTGTGAGGAACACTTTGTGTAATGATGGATGTTGGGAAGGAGGGGTGAGTGCTGCATTGCATCTTGAGCTTTAATGTCGGTGCACCGATGCAAACCGGTGGATCTTACATCCCTGGTTTGCAGGTATTTGGCCATAAACCAAAGTATTGGACAGCCCGGTGGCTCAGTGGTTAGCATTGTCGTCTCACAGCAAGAAGGTCCTGGGGCAGGCCCTGTGTGGTTTGCATATTCTCCCTCTGTGTTTGTGTGGTTTTCCTCCAGATGCTCCTGTTTCCCCCACCATCAAAACATAGTATTATGTTAATTCTCCAGTCAGTACCCATGACCAAGTCTCTGGCTTTGATCTGGATTTGGTCCCTGTGGCCGCACATTGCTCCTTGTACCGAGATGGGTTAAATATAGAGGACAAATGTCACTATACATTGTACTGTGTCTGATTTTATACATTACAATAAACTTTATTCTATTCTGAATTAACATTTTGACCTGATGGCACTCGAGGAAAAGTTACACTTCATCCTAAGAGGAGCATAATACCAAATTTCATAGCAATCCATCCAATAGCTTATGGTTGTGCTAGAGGAAAAAGTCAGAGGATCATCAAATATATTAGGATTTATTGTCTGGAACCATACACATCTGCACAAAGGCATTCACTCAGTACACTCTTTTGATCTTTGTTTTTGTGTTTTATTTCCGGACTACAGATCATTTTGTTTTATACATTAGCAGCAACCACCTCTCCAAATGTTTTGTGCTAAATATGGGTTTCAATTAATCACTTTCCTGTTTTCCAGGGAAGTGATTTGTGAACGTGCTGCCCTTTTCCAGGAAAGCTCTCAACCGTTACTACCCATGTAGTGGATGTTTTAAAAAAGATCTCTTTTGACCCAGTCTTGTTTGTAGGCCATTGTGACTGTATATGGTATCGCCCATTGTAAAAACTAAACTGCTATATCCATCTGCTCCATTATGACCGGCTGCTCACTGTTGGTGGGCTCCTTGTCAGATCTTAAGATACAGATACCTAAATAAAGGGATGGTGCTCAAGTAGCCCTCTTAGTGACAATACATAGTGTTACATTACCTCATATAATCAACTCTGATAACACAAGCTGTGCTACACTGCTAGTGACTGGTTGGGACATACAGTGAGGAGAGAAAACACACATTATATAAAAATCTGTAAGCTCACATCATCTGATAGTACAGTTTTCGTTGGTATGTTGTTATAGAAGAAGATTGATGCGTGGTTTCAGGCCAGAAATTTTCCCCATATCATTTTCTTTCAGCATGTCCTTAAATGTCAAACAAATGAGTTGTGTGTGTGTGTGTGTGTGTGTGTGTGTGCGCAGACTTTTTGGTCCTGGACTCGCAGTAGTTGGATGGAGGTCTGTTTCCTTCACCACTGTCATTAGACTCATTTTCAGTATATTAAGAAAACCACCAACAGAAGATATCAAAGCCTGACTAAAAACTAAGCTAATGTTTTTCCTGGCTCAGGATGTCCCGACATATATGAGGCACTTTAATTGCTGCAAGAGGTTTCTTATAATCAATAGTTCAGTTTTATGAATTTGTATTATTGATTCTGTTTAGGGATAAACTGTTGGATGTCTTCAGAATTCACACTCTTCAGTCTGGCACTGAAATAAGTTTGTGAACCATATTAACATACACAGTTACAGTTTGTGGCCTCAGTTTATTCCTTAACTTAAATTTCACAAGTCCCAACACGGGACAACGTCTGAAACATTTCCAGCCATAATGCGCATATGTTAAGAAGAAGTTTATTTCTTCATAAAAATTAAAAGTATATGTTTAAAAGTGGATTCCTTAGAGACAACAGACATCCAGTAATCAAACTAAACACTTCATGCAGAAATATATATGTGTTAGTTTGCTGGTTTAATTTCCTCCCTTCTCTGGTTGGGACAGAATTGCTCTGAAATCATACCTTCACTGTTCCTACTTTCACACTGCAGTGCATTGTATCTGTTGGCTGGAGTTACTGGCAGGCTTTCTTACAGACTTATACAAGGTCGTCAAAAGATGGTTGATGGCAGCTGCTTATTGTGCAGCTGGTAAATGTTCTATGTAAGAAAAAATACATTTGATGAAGCGTTTTTATTGGCAGTGCTTTGGAATTGGCTCTCACGGCTAAAGGTGTTAACACAGCGCTACTCAAACTGTCTTAAAGGCCATAGATGAATGATCTAGTTAATTCTTTAGCCCAAGAAGTTGATATTGCATCTAAGGATATGCTCAATTTATTCACAAGATTTTATCTATGAACACTCAAGATTATGTGTCTGATTTCTTGCTCTATAACCAGAAGGATTTGCAGATAGTGACTTGGCTCAGGAAGTTGTGGTCTTTGGGAAGCTTTGGGAAATTACCCCCTACCAGTGTGGGCAAAACTTCAGATTTATTATTTGCTTATTAGATACATACTCAATTGTAGATTATATACTTTGGCAGCCATGTATTAGAATGATCATTTCATCCATAATGAAGAATCTGCAGTGATTATTACATGCACTCTTAATAAAGTCTGACGCCAGTGAAGTTTCAGTAGATCTACACTACAACAGCAGCAGCAGTTAATGATATGATGAATGAGGGGCACTTTTCTCAGAGATATCACGCCTGTCCAGCCTCTACAATTTGAATAAAACTATCCTGTATAACAGGCTTCCCAGTGAATAGGATATTATAGGACTCCACCTTCATTCAGGAAGAATTGTTCCAGGGGCTTAAAGGTCCAGTGTTTAAGATTTGGGAGGATCTATTGGCATATTAGGTATGTTTTCACGAGTGTATAATCACCTGAAAATATGAATTGTTATGTGTTTGTTGGTTTGGTAGTCTCCCATGAACTGCAATGTTTCTACTGTAGCCTGGAATGGACAAACCACAGGCTCTAAATATGTTTTTCGCAACCACTGTTGTTTCTTCTTCACACTTGGAAGCGGAGGAGAAGTGAGAGAGTTGCAATCTTCAACTATACCGCTAGGTGCCACTAAATCATACACACTGGTCCTTTAATGACTTTCTCAAAAGCCAGAGACATTGTCACAAGTGTTTGCAAGAGAGAACAAATGATATTCTGATTTTCTCTCATAAGACTCGCACAGATTCCTCTGTTTTGAGTTTTGGGTGTCTTTTAGGCTACATGTCATGGATCATCTCTGAATCTAAATGCTTTTGATCCTGAAAGACAACATAGAAATGAATGTAACTCCTCTCTAGAATCTGATATAATGACTGATATGATGCCTGATGTCTGTGTGTGGTAATCTGGACAGTGGATCTGAGCAAAGACAATTATTAGTTGATTTAAGATGATTTAAGCTTGGTTTCTTATTTGGTGGTTAACAAAAGGGTCTTTAAGGAAACAGGGTTAAACTGATACATTTGACAACAGCTACATCAGAAAGACAGACAGAAAGAAAGCAGGATAAAGCAATGCAGACCAGGGGAGATAGTTTGAGAGAGTCTAAAGTCAGAGATCAGGGAGGGGAAAGTGAGGCAGGGGGAGAGAGCAGGAGTCAGATTGAGGAGGAGGAGGGAGGCTGAGAGAGAAAGAGAGGGGAGCAGAGAGGCAGGCTTTGCCTTTTCTGGTAGTTAAAGTCGCTGAAAGAACAAGCAGGAATTCTTTGTGCTGCAGAAGGGCTGAGATATAAACCAGACTGTAGAAGTTGATGTATGAAGAGAGGAGAGACACTGCTGTTCATGGACTAAACTTCAGCTACTGCTAAGGTATTGTAAACCAACAGGCACTGTAGTTCTTTATGTTTCTATTCATGCCATGAAGCTGTCTTAGGTGGCCCCCTTTATTTTGATGTGTGTATATTTATGAATAACTTTTTAAAAATGTAATTTAGCATGTTTTCTTTGTCACAGTGAGGGTCTGTTAGTAATAAACCTCACAACGTTGAGAAATTACCATGATGATGAAATGAGATTTTGTAGGATCCCAATGTACAGGAAAGATGTGCCATGTCAAGCAGAAATTAGAAGATTTTCCAAGCAAATGGAATCCAATGATCCAAAATAAACCAATTGATGAGTGACTGACTGACAGATTGTATAGGATTTAGCACACATGATTTGATGTCACGATTGTGTCTTTCAGTGAGAAAGTGAGGAGAATCTTTTGGGCATCATGGACGATGAGTTTGACCGCCGCATGGAGCTGAGGAGGCAGAGGAGAGAGCAGATGCGCCTTGAGGCTGATAAGTGAGTGAACCCTCTAAGAACTTATAAACATATGTCCGGACAGGACAAGCACACATGTATGGACATGCACACTCAAACACCAGCTGGATTTTGCAGAACAAAAAGTGAATGCATGGTTAAAATTGTACAAATGCTATAAAAGGACATCCTACACCACAATTTCTTAAATTAAAGCCTCATTTGTTTTTATCAGTTTTAAACCTGATACACCTTCAGCTTCAGTACACCTTATTTGATAAGCAGGGTCTAACATTCCCCTGCTTTTATAAACCACATGTACAGTCGTTGCTAGCGTTATTAGACACCAGCTGCTCACAGGGAAGTCCGACCGAGCCAGTTTTCTGTTTGTCAACCCACGTACCTTACCTTTACCATTGTGCAATGAACCATTTTAGAACATGTTTCTTCTCTAATATTTTTTCTTGGTCTTCTAATGATCCTTTAGCCATGCAGTGTCTTGGAGACAGATGATCAGTGCTCAAGGCTTACTGTGTGTATTTGTCTGTCTTTGGGTTTATGCATTTTGCATGAGAGAGTTGTGAGTACCTGCGAAGAGTACAGCAGACAGGACTTGGATGGTGCCCAGGCGATGATGGTTAAATGATCTCCTCTTTCGCTCATTAGGGACTGAGCTGCTGTTTGGATTTTTTTTGTTCTTGCTCTCTGTCGTCTCGCTCCATCTCTCTGTGTGCTCATATAGAGTTATTGCTGATATCCGTTCTACAGTAAGATGGTGACTCACAAGTGTAAACTTGCAGATTTGATGCTTTAGACTGTATCTTATGACATAATAAGAACAAAAAGGAAAGGGATCTACAGGGATATAAACTGTAGGGGGGTGCAGAAGTAAAGGTTGCCTGCTCAGTGTTAACTGTGTTATTCACAGTACAATAACAATATAAACCAAACTAACAATCTGATTCAACTTCAAGTACAAGCACAATTGCTGACACCTGTAGCTGTCAGCTGCAGCTTAATCAATTACTAAGCTACTACTCAGAGCCTACAGACACTTAAATTAACCACAAAATAATTACAGGAATTATTTATTTTCAAAAGATCCCATTAAAAAACAGCAATAAATTGATCCTTCAAAGGCTGAGGGACATTTTCCTGAATATTGCCAATGTAGTTTGTTTTTAATCAATTCCACATACACAGTCTTGCTGCAGTAAATATTCACTATAGTGCCAAATGTGTATTAATCCACAGCTGAAATATTAGATATAGAAATACAGAATAGTTCCCAATACATCTTTTTACTCATGTTCAATGGGAATGAATGGGCTTTGAGCATGAGTGCTACAGACAGGTTGGGGGTGTCAGAAAACACTCAGAGACAAACTAACACATACAGTATAAAGCTGGTTTTGGTGTCTTCGTTGAATTTGTTAAGAATATTGTAACTTTTATCTTTCAAGGGTTAGTGGTGACATTAGGCCATGATCAGATAGTCAGTGTGTCCGTACAATCAATTACATCTCAACACATTATTTTCTTCTAGTTCAGAAGTCAGTTGTTGTCATATCAGACGTCCTATCAGAGCCTCAGTGAAAAAAGGCATTCCTAACAATTTTCTCACAGTCCTGCAGCCAGCCCTGCCAGCAGTGCCAACCCAGCCTCTCAGCTCCTCTCTGCAGCCCGAGGAAATTCTGCAGACGCTGGAATGTTTTGACTGCCATTTTTATTTCAGCACAAGATAGGCTTCTCTGAATGCTTCTGACAATTTGAGTTAATCTCTTTTCCTTCATCTCACCACGTTTTTTTTCTCATCATATTTCCGTTCATTTATTATGTTTCATGTCCCTCAGGTTGGTCGTCTAGAAATGTAACATTTTGACAGCACTCTCACAGCAGGCCTCCAGCTTTGGGTGGAGTTTTATCGAATTGAATTACTACCTCAGTGATTCCTCGGGGCGACCCATGCCAATTGGAGGAAACTTTGCCTGAGGATTTGTTGGATTTCAACCTTGTTTGAGTCTTTGTTTCTGTTTTAAAGACATAAAGGATTCTTGTGGTTCCCATCACCTCCTCTCATAACATCTGTAAATCATTGCGTGAAGAGCAGAGGGAAATAATACCCGTGCTCTATCAATGAGCCATTTCAAGCTTTCTCCGTGCCTCATAAAGCCTGGTAGTGCTTGGAAACATACAACCTGGCAAGCTCAAAAGTCCCACTGTGGATGTACACGTAGTTGGATGAAGGTCAATGACAGGATGTGAGTGAGATGAGAAGGACAGGAGAGTGTAAAGATTCTTTTTTTTGTCTAGAGTTGGTGATTTTGTCCTCATCTTTATCTCTTTATCTTGCTCTTTTTCCACCCAGCACTGCCTCTGTCTCTGATTAAATGTGTTGCCATGGGGTCATTCCTTCCACCTCAATTTCTTCTTGTGACATTTAAGTTTCAGACAAATGTAGAATGTGTTTCTTGTTATGTCTTAGTCTGTTTTCCATCTGTGGGGCATCTCCCGTCTCCATCATGTCTTATGAGGTTTGCTTGAGACAGTGTGGCGTATATCACTGAATACTTCAAATTAATGAACTAATCACAACTAAGGCCATTAACTAAAATAAGAGGTCACAAGCAGATCTTATTTACAATATACTTTAACAGCTACAAACGTGGAAATTGTGTAATTATGAATATAAAAAAAATTTTACATTTACTATTTAATCTATCCATTTTGGTGAATTTATGCTACTTTAAATTCATTAGTGAGTATTAACTACCACTAATTACTATAACTTTTACTTCTTCTTCTTATATTCCAATGCATGTCTCATTGTGGAGTACAAACACATGTACTATGCATCTGTATTTTATTTTATTTCAGTGTGGGTTGCACCAACGATGATGATGAAGAGGAAGCTCGGGAGCGAAGAAGACGTGCAAGGGAGGAGAGGAAGAAGATGAGGGACACGGAGGAGTCTGGAACCACTGATGTGATCGACACTAACAGGTACAATGTAGATCTATGGGTATATAACACTCGGTAGTGGGATAAACCAGGAAAACAAGGTAGTATAGGTAGTAGTAGGTAGTATTCATAAAACAGTTGTCCTTTCTGTAACCGAGTTAAAGCTGCACCATAAACAGCTGTAGACCAAAGCAGAAAAAGAAAAGCTGTTATTTGTTGGACAGTAGATAGGTGTTACCAAGTGGATTTCCCTACCAGTAAGCTGGGTGGATTTACAGTATGCTGCTCTCAGTACTTGTTTATCCCCAGTTATGTTCAGGACCAACAGCCTGTTGTCTGCAGGATGTACAGGCCAGAAAAGGTTTAGTGTTGCTATTAACTGTTGACTGCAGCCATTAAAAGTAAACAATACAGTTACACATGCCATCGATCCTTTGCTAATTTTGCTCTATTGACCATGAAACTGCAATTTAAAAATATCTGCTGCAGTTACATTAGCACAGTTATTAAGCCAGTTACAGAGGTGGGAAGTAACAAAGTGCAAATACTTTGTTACTGTACTCTTTTTTCAGGTATCTGTACTTGAGTATTTAATTACTTTTTACTTTTACCCCCTCAGTTTTGAAACTAATATCTGTACTTTCTCCTCCTTACACCTGCACAAATGAATGGCATCATAGAAAACAGTGAAGACAGTTGGATAAATGATAATATAATATAATATAAAGCAGTTATTAAGTTTATTGGAAAAACTTTAATTGCAATTTTGGAGCTTCAACTTGAATTTCAAGTGTATTTCATGTGCTTACAGTGTGATGGAGACCTCCATGACAACCAGTGCCGAAGGTGCAGATGATGACCAGGCTTTGCTGGAGCGCCTGGCCAAGAGGGAGGAGCGCAGGCAGAAGAGAATGAAGGAGGCCATGGAGAGGCAGAAGGAGTTTGACCCCACCGTCACTGACACAAATGGCACAGACAGCACACTGGAGGAGTCTTCCATCAGCAGCAGACAGCAACATACAGAGGAAGAGGAGGAGAAACCAGCCCAAGGGGAGGTGGCAGACGCTGATACAAACTCCTGGAGCAAAGAGGAAGAGGACAAGAAGGAAGATGAGAAGGTAAAGTGAAAGATGTCAGATTTTTTATGTCAAGTTGTTTGGAGTGAGATTATTCTGTCGTATCTTATGTGTTTTTTTCTTAACAGGAGACTGTTGAGGAATCAACAACAGTGAGCACAACAAATGAGGTCTCTTGTTATTGATTTTTGATAATTTAATTGTATTAAAATACGTATATAAATTGACACAAAACAAATGTATCTTATTTTATAGGAGGAGATTGAGGAGAAGGCTGCAGCAACAGAAGTAGAGGTCGAACAGCCCGATTCAGGAAAGAAAGATGCTGAAGAGGAAACTTCTCCTGATGTTGACAAGGAGGAAGAAGAAAGAAAGAGGAAAGAAGAAGAAAGACAGCAAAAAGAATTGGAGGAAAAGCTGAGGATAGAAGAGGAGGAAAAGCAAAAAAGGGAAATGGAGGAAAAGCTCAAGAAAGAGGAAGAAGAAAGGCAACTAAAGGAGGAGGAGGAAAGAAAGAAAAGGGAAGAGGAGAAAAAGCAACAAAAGGAGGCAGAAGAGAGGCTGAGAAAAGAGGAAGAGGAAAAACAGAAAAAGGAGATGCAAGAGAGACAGAAGAAAGAGGAGGAAAAACGAAAAAAGGAGTTGGAGGAAAAGAAGAAGAAGGAAGAGATGGAAGAGAAGAAGAAAAAGGAGGAGGAAGAGAAGCAGAAGAAGAAGGAGCTGGAGGAGAAGAAGAAGAAAGAAGAGGAGGAGAGACGGAAAAAGGAGGCTGAAGAGAAGAAGAAAAAAGAGGAAGAGGATAAGCGCAAAAAGAGAGAGATGGAAGAGAAGAAAAAGAAAGAGGAGGTATTGATGTGATTTATTGATGTTTTCATGTTAACAGCCGCTTCCGAAACCTGGAAAATTCTAATGAAGGCTGGTAATAACATCCCCATCTGTAAAGTAAGAATACAGACATGTAATGTACTAACACAAGTCCTCAATCCTTAAGATTAAGTGACTGTGGACGGCCACTTTTGATTTATCCTGGCTTTGTTCTGACTTTGCAGTCATTTACTGTTATGGTGTGGTCACAAATCACTGTGAAGTCCCAGGGTTTTGTTGCCACATGGATGAAAGAGGGTGCTGGTGTTGTGGATGTCACAGTAACTTCAGTTTACATCTGTGTTGCATTCACTACCACGCTTTGGTTTGCAACAGTGCTTGATAGCTTTTTTGTGGGTTTTTTGACATTATATGTTTCCACTGAGCCTTCTGTTTCTTATTATTTTTCCTCCATTTCTGTCTTCTGTGTAAAGGAGGAGAAGCCGAAGAGATTTGGTTTTAAGGAAAAGGTAAAACATGATTGTCATTTAATAATGAAGCCTTCTCTAATATACAAGATATAGTTAGAACGGTGTTTTAATGTATGACTTTTGTTCCTCTTTTTGAAAGAATGAACCAGCCAAACAGAACGGAGCTCTCATTGAGAATAGACTTAAGAAAACAGAGAAGACATCAAGGTAAAGTTGGATGGACCCCTTATTCCAATAGGAACAAAGGACCAGTAAGATTTAGTGACATCTAGCGGTGAAGTTTCAGATTGCAACTAACTGAACACCACTCATGTCTGTATTTGACAACCTGGGAATGAGAGGGTAGGAGAAACTACCATGGTCACGAAACATGTGAAAAATGCAAATTCCCTTTCTTGAGCCAGTATTTGGTTTGTCTGTTCCGGGCTACTGTCAATGGAAGGCGACCCACAGCCTCTTTACCTCTAGCACCACCATCAGGTTAAAATTTTAGTTTGTCCAACACTTCGATTTATGACCAAAAACCTACAAGACTAATGACATTCCCATCAGCCTCAGCTGTACTTTATGTTTAGTGCTAATTACCAAATGTTAGCATGCTAATACACTAAGCTAGGAAGATGAACATGGTAAAGTTTATACCTGTTAGCATTTAGCTCAAAGAACCAGTACAGTCAGTACACAGCTGCTATCATGTTGTAGTCTTGTTATACACTTTGAGACTAGAATGAGTCTTAATAACTAAAATGCATCCTCACTCGTAGAAACCCACACTCTGTGCTCATTTTCAACAGCAGTTGATTAGAGAAACGTGTGTTTGTATGTGTATTCATTTAATAATTGTGTGTTTGTGAGCAGGGACAATGTTCCCTCCACCAAGACAGAAGACAAAGAGCGACTGGAGGCCGAGCGTAAACTGCAGGAGCTGAAGCGCCGACGAAACGATGCAGAAAGCGAGGAGTTTGAGAAGATGAAGCAGAAGCAGCAGGACGCAGAGGCTGAGCTGGAGGAGCTGAAGAGGAAGAG